TATGTATGAATTCCAGTAATACCTAGAGCTGAGATTCAAACTGGAATACTTCATTACTCTCTCGCCTACACTTTCTCTCCCTCCCTGTTGCCCCACCCCCACAACTTACAAACACACAGTAAATACACCTTGTGCAGCACTTAGAATGTGGTAGGTGCCCAATAAATGCAAGGCTTTCTTCTGTATGTACTCATAGGGCTTTACACACATTAAGTAGTCAGTAAATATGCTTTGACCAGTGAAGAGGTGGATCTTTATTATACAAGAAAAATGGAAACATCTCTCATAAAATTGTAGTCACTTAATCTTGGCTTCTAACATCAGCCTTGATCATTGCTAAACATCTGGTTATTAGAAATAAGCCCCTAAACATAGACATTTATACATTAATATGTATGTAAATAATTGTCCATATGCCCTTTAAAATTCTCATTTCCTAAAGAGTTGCTTGCAATATTGCCAGTTGTAACCTACGAAGGGGAAAGGTCCCTGACTTTGTGTTGTAAACCCAGGGAAAGATCTTGCCAATTCTATAATAATATATACCTGGTGGTTTTCTTCAGGGAAAGACATGCTTCTTTTGACATACTTTTTTGAAATGTTTTTTAGATGCCAAAATTTCATATTTGCACAGAGAAAAAAATAAATATAAGAATTGTGATCCTTATTTTATAAATGAAAACCTAAAGACCTAGAAAATCGTAACTTTCTCACATCAACATAAAGGCCTTGTGCCTTCCCTGATTCAAAGTTGGATCATTTCAGAAGCAGTGTGCCAAGTTTCAAGCATTTATTGTGATTTATGTTTCATGGATCAATAATCATCTCTTACCCCTAAAATCATTCTAGATTGACACATTTCAGATCTGGTTGGGGCCAAGGGAATTAAAGTAATTATAATGTAAACATATTGGTATTTATGCTAATGCTTGCTAGAAAATGAAATCTAGAGAATGTGGATTGCCATATCCCTAAACCTAGTGTGTTCTCATCAAACATTTGAAGACTGAAAAACAAGAAGGTTGGAAAATTTGTGGGGGCAAAACAACTTGAAAATGTTAGCTAAATGGTAGCTTTAGAAGTAGAGTAAGGATGAAAGAATGTAAAAGGCTATTTAATTAGGGGAAAACTTGTAAGGATTGATCTAGATATATAGGAAATGGGAGTGGGATGGTTTCTCTACCTCCATCACATCCCTTTTACACATTATAGCATTTCACTTGGGGCATTATCTCTTTTCTTTTTCTGACAGGATGCTAAGGGGAAAAAACTGATATAATTCTTTAGCATTTGGGGTTTCTGTAGGGCCTAACCAGACAGCATTGGTGCTATTTAGTAGATTGGATGTGTCTGGTAGAGCAGCAAATAGAAAAAAGATAAGTCTGAATCCCTTCCCTACTAGCAATGTGATCTGGAAAAAGTTTATTTGCTTCTATGGACAGTAATAATATTGACAGGGTTGTTACAAGGTTCAGATGACACAGTTATGGAACAGTGGTTGGCTGGTGCACACGTTATATAAATAATGGGCTGTGCTACTGTTTATCATTTACTGTGCAAAACCTGATGCTTTCTTGTTGGAAATATATTCCAATCAAGGAAATCAGTAGCTTCAACCTCCATTCTAATTTAAAATTATATGCCCAGCCAGAGTGGCTCAATGGTTGAGCATTGAACTATGAACCAGGAAGTCACGGTTTGATTGCCAGTCAGGGCACATGCCCAGGTTGTGGGCTCAATCCCCAGTGGGGGGTGTGCAGGAAGCAGCAGATCAATGATTCTCTTTCATCATTGATGTTTCTATTCCTCTATTCCTTACTCTTCCTCTCTGAAATCAATAAAAAATATATTAAAAGAATAAAATTATATGCAGTATCCTACATAATAAAAGGCTAATATACAAATAGACTGAACTTGGAACAACTGAATAACTAAGCAACCAGTTGCTATGACGTGTACTGATCACCAGGAGGCATTCACAAAACATGGCGAGCATCGGCCACAGCAGGATGGTGGAGCAGATGAGCAATGGCATCAGACCAAGATGGGGCGCCGGTCACTATCATCAGGGTCAGCCTCTGATGGTTACTGAAAATTCTTTGCTCCCATGTGCCGTGGTCCCACGTGGCACTCACACCTGCTGACAGTGCCGGCCCCACTCACACCCGCTGCTGGGGCTGGAATGGCCGATCGCTCGGCACCATCAGTGGATGCAAGCAGGGGCTATTGCCCCTTATTGCCCATCAGGGCTTCTCCACCTCCCCCTGTTCCAGAGGGGCGATCAGGGCAGCAGCCGCCACTTGCACCCACTGCTGGCGCCAGCCCTAATTGCTCTGGGCTGTCAGCGGGTGTGAGCAGGGCTGGTGCCTTCAGTGTGTGGGAGCGGCAGTGGCAGGAACAGAGCTGCTGGCAGACAGGGGACTGGAGACCATCAGGGGGGCAGGCGGGGGTATGGAGGATGGGCTGAGACCCGCCCCTGTGCCCACTACAGTCTCGTGGCCCACAGTTCCTTTCAAGGTGCATGAATTCATACACTGGGCCCCTAGTTATATATGTTTATGTATATGCCTATACCAAAAATGTGTGTATGTGAATGTATATATACATATTTTTTCATATCTATGATTCTTCGTTGTTGAAAAATCAGGGTGCTGACAGTGATTTCCATTATCAGAGTTTTCTCAAGATAGCACATTTGGCTTGAGTTGTCAGCTTTAGTAGAAATGGAGACTATTTCAATCATTGTGATTGAACAGGGCATAAAATGGTCTGGAGACCATCATTTAAACCTTGAATACTACTTCAGCCAGGAAACTGGCAATGAGAAGCAAAAATCATCAGATTCATGGCCTTAGTTTAAGGGAATGATTTCTGGCATATAAGGAGGGAGAAAGTCAAAGACCTGCTATCAGCCAAGAAGAAAACACTGGAAGAGATTATATTAGATGTGAAGTGAGCTGTGCTATGGGCAACAAGTGCAGAGCAAAGAGGGCACTTTCCCTAAAACTACTTGCTGTTCTCAACCCCTTATGTTATACTATTTACAGTTGATAGACTGCAGGCATTAAAGCAACACTTTGCCTTGGTTATCTTTAAAGCAATGATATCAAGAAAGCACAGGTGGCCCAGCTGGGATACTGTTGGTTGGGCATCACCCTGTACACTAAAAGGTTACTGGTTCAATTCCCAGTCAGAACACATACCTGGGTTGTGGGTTTGATCCCCAGTTGGAGAATGTATGGAAGGCAACTGATTAATCATCAATCTATGTTTCCCTCTCCTCTCCTTTCTCCTCCTCCTCCTCCTCCTCCTCCTCCTCCTCCTCCTCCTCCTCCTCCTCCTCCTCCTCCTCCTCCTCCTCCTCCTCCTCCTCCTCCTCCTCCTCCTCTTCTTCTTCTTCTTCTTCTTCTTCTTCTTCTTCTTCTTCTTCTTCTTCTTCTTCTTCTTCTTTCTCCTCCTCCTCCTCTGCCTAAGCAAAGCATGTCCTTGGGTGATGATTAAAAAACAACAACAAAACAACCTTATAAAAAAATGAAAGCACAGATCCATTATCAATATACAATAACCAATATTTTAATGGTATGGATGAAATTACCCCTCAACTGGTAGACATTCGGGCCAGAGGAAGGAGCCATGCCCCTGGGCTGCATCCATTTTCCATTTACCTTCCCTAGCCCGCTGGAATCCATTCAGCATGGTTCTCAGGACAAAGCCCTTCTACCACACCCCTCCAGGACTGCTCAGAATTTTCTCAGTAGACAAGTTTCCCTAGATTTCCTTTTCCATTAACTCTTGAAGTCTTGAGATCTGTGGGTACATCTAGTCTGTCGTTATCAGCATAATTTCTTGCTTAATTTAGGTAAGCAACCCATCTTTTCTGAACTCAGTGGTGTACCAAGTGGGAGGTGGTGGGAGCTATCTGCTGGTGCAGAGTATTTTATCACTGACATAGTTGAGAATTGTCAGTGAGTGGTGATGATAAAAGGCAAGTCAACTTCTAGTAAGATATATTGTTTTTAAATTCTCTACAGCAGGGCATCCCCTTATTGTCTAAACTCCAGGCAGATCTCCAGCCTTGGACTGCCATTGTCTCAGCCCTGAGACTTCTGGAACTATTGCTCTAAGGTTGGTTTTTAGGGGGTGGGGCAGGATCAGGAACATCAAAATGGCCGTTAGTGTTTTGTTTTTATTCTCAGAGGAATTTTCTTAAGTCAAGACATTAAACCTGTTCAGTTATGCATTCATAAGTATTTGTGGAGTACTGTTAGACATATCCCTGTGCTAGATATTAGAGCAAAAGTTAACATAAAAATACGTGACTGTTTGGAAGTAGTTTCCAAACTCCCATGTATGCTTACCTGTCCTATTTATATAAATAGATTGCACAGATATACTCACCTACATGATTTTTCCTAAATTGGTATATCAAAAGTACTGTTATTTGCTTAAGATTTTCTTTAAATTGACACATTCTTAAATTTAAAACCATTTTAAAGGAAAATACTTTGTCTCTAAGTAGGTAAATGGAAATTCCTATGGCTTGTGATAAATAGAAGATACGTAAATACAAATACAATGGAAACAAGCCTGATTAATAAGCTATAGCTGAATCTTATGGTCTGTCAAGACCTCAGTTTTGTAAAACAGAAATTAGCAAAAGTAAGGACACACTTTAACCAATATAAGACTTTTTCTCTTAAAGTCATCAAAATTGTTGACAAGGAAATAGCATTATGATGTGCCTTGTTTCATCTAACACAGTCTTATTACCTACGATAACAACATTGCATGCTTTCTAAGGCCCTGTATGAGGCTATTGCCACACTTACTGGTTTTGTGTAGAGAAATCTTTTTTATTGAAGGCCAGGAATGCTTAGTTAATAGATATTGTGAATGTAACTTCATTTATTTTCTTTCTTTAGCCATTTGTAGGCAGTGCTTTGTCACTGCATGTGTAGCTGTACTAATGTCTTGTTCATTTCCTTTTCTGTCTTCTGTAGAATGCGGAGTCCTGGATTTCTTGACCACAGATTGTCAACCTGAAATCCTAAAGACAAGGACTCCTAACGGTAAGGCATGGGTCTCTTCCACATGGAATGATAATACTGTTTGACTGAAATTTGAACTTGAGAGATTCATTCTTCTTTGGGGAATTTATATCATATAATTTGGATTTTTGCCTCATACTGGCACTAGACATGCTTCACTAAGTGGTCAGGTTAGATTAGCTTTTCAGATTGTATTCTTTATTTAGTATAGATCAAAATTAAAGTTTTATTATAATTTTTAAGCCCTCTTTCCAGTTTAGAAAAACACAATAGAATGAGAATAAAGATAAATAATAGAAACACTGCTTGGAACTTATCATTTGAATAACAATTTAGGTCAGTTTGTTGCTTGCCATACTCTGAAAAAGCTTTATGGAGGTGCTTCCAAATTTTAATTAATGTAAAATGTATTGTTTCAGTAACCAAATATATGCACTGTAATGACCATGCCTGATAGGCATCGATGGAGCAGGGAAAGCTGTGTAAAGTGTATAGAGGAAAATACTCCTGATTTTCACCAAGTATTAAGAGTAGAATCAACTGAGACCAAGAAAGACTGCTAATTGACTGGGACATGTGACCAGTTAGACTCATCAATAGTTGAAGAAACAGGGTTAGGGTGGAAAGCAGTTCTTTTCAAACAATGACAGTAGTGTGGGGTGAATGAGTGAACATCACGGTAACTGTGAACATCTGTAAGACACTGTGAGCACCAAGAGACGATCACAGCAACTGTGTTGAAATGATTACTGACTCTTAGTGAAGTTTTAAGTCTGATAGTCACTATGAATATTTCTGTAAGAGTCTAGTATTTTTAAAATTTCTGCTTCCCTGGAAAAGAGGTGGGGTTTCTGATTCAGGATTTCTCTTTCTCCAAAGTCACTTTTTTATTTTATTTCTTGAATCAAGTGCTGATATACTCCCGACTTAAACTATACCTCATTCAGTAATTCTCTAGTTATTTTCAACCTTCATGTCATAAGCATGTTATAAAGACAGCTGGCTGTTCTGGTGAACAGGACCCTTCATATTTATGTCTACTTCATCTGTGAGTGTCTGTACCAAAAGGTTCGTTCTCATAAAAGCCTGGTTCACTGCGAGAGAGCAGCAGTAGAGAGGCAGTGGAGCCTGGCAGACAGGCCTGTATTACATTCTTGGTTTTTGAGCCAAACTTGGGGCCAGACTTATTGGGAGGAGCTAAATGACCGAGGTAAGCTGCTTTTGATTTTGTTGTTTATCTGGGAGTGCCTTTCTGAAGAGGGAGATAGGCATAGCAGGTAAGGAAAGTCCCTAATAATAATATCTGATGTTGATAAATCAAGAGAAAGGGGGATAATTCCTGAAATATACCAACCTCAGGTGATCAGAGTTCTGCCTACTGATCACATACACACTAACACACACACGCATGCAGAGAGAGAGAGAGAGAGGGAGGGAGAGAGAGAGAGAGATTGAGAGGGAAGAAAGAAAGGAATCAGGAAGAGAGAAGAGATGAGAACACATTAGACCACATGTTTTGTCATTGAAAAGCAAGGCTAAGAGAGTTCAGCAAGAAGCCAGAAGTCAATTGTGACTGATGGGGAGACACTTAGGACTGCTAGGTTTGAGACCACATATCTTGGCATTGCATCATCCATTCTTAAAGAGGCCAAAGTGCCAAAGGAATAGACAATATGGTAGGTTCTAATATCGGCATATTTTAAATATCCCCTATTTTACAGAGAAATCAGAAAATTTTAAATATGGATAGCATTTAAAAAACTGCCATGTTTCATCCCTGAAGGTAACATGTTTGCCCAAGGTTACTTAGTTAACTAGTGACAGTGTTAGGATTAGAAGTTCACTAGTCCTAATTATCAATAGCCATTATTTTCTAAAACATAAGAGCAGGGGAAATTTATTATTTTCCTCCAAACAGAAAAGATATTAAGAGAGTCTGAAGTTTATCCATTCTAATTTTTCTTAATTAATATTTTGGTCTGTGAGACAAAATTTGGGCCATAAGGGAGCTTGTGGTATTATAGCTGATTGTCTAGTAAGTTAACTTAGTAATCAATTAATGTGTCACAGGATCCCTCAGAAATTTTATCCTTAGAGGATACCTCAGCAGTCAGAAATAGGAAGACAAACTGTGTAGTGTTTTGTGTTTCAACTTTTCTTATCTTCAAGGGAAATCGTTTATGAAACCTCAATATATGAAACAGGTAAAGCAAACTTGGAAGAGATAATAAGGATATAAGGATACTAGAATCTTACCTGCTTACCAGCCATGCTATCCTTGTCCATCCAAATGGCCTAGGACTATACTGGAGAAATGTGAGTGCCTTGATGTAGTAGAAGAAAAGGAGCTTTGTAGTCAAAGACAGCTGGAGTCAAATCTTGCCTCCATCTTTTATAGTTTGTGTGATATTGATCTTGTTACTTAATATCCTCTGAGCTTTAGTTTCCTCACCTAAAAAAATACGAATGGCATTGATGTAATAAAGTTGTGTTGATGATTAAATGAAACACATATATGCAAAGGAGTGCTGGGTGAAGACTGGATCTTAAAATTGTTATTGCTGGGAAACACGGGTTTGATCATTGGAACTGGATTCTGCAGTCTACTAGTAAGTTGGAAGGTTGACTCATTTTTAGAGTTAAATGTGCTTTTGTTCTGTTAAGAACTACTTGCCTGATTGCTGGTAGTCATGTAGACATAGAATACATAGAGATCCATTTTTCTGGAGAAAGAGCTTAAGAGTACATTTTGCCTTGTCTAGGAGCTGGCATGAGAAACTGTAAGTAAATGAAGTTAGACAGGGCTATGCCCACAGTGTCATGGGAGCTTCCTAGAAAAAAAAGGCGGGGGGGGGGGGCAGGGCAGGTATTCAGAGAGTACCTGAAAGGAATTAAGCCTGAGAAATAAATACTTTACAGGCCTGGCTGGTGTCACTCAGTAGTTACAGTGTTGGCCCTTGCACCGAAGGGTCACGGATTTGATTCCTAGTCAAGGGCACTTATCTGGGTTGGAGGTTGGATCCCCTCCCTGGTTGGGGTCGGGTCAGGAGGCAACTCTTTCCTCTTCCCTTCCTCCCTTCCACTCTCTCTAAAAATTAGTGGAAAATGTCCTCAGATGAGAATTAACAACAACAACAACAAATACTTTACTAATACTGTTGGTGGCCCTGGGGATGGGGACAAGGGTGTGATGAGGAGCCAAACAGTCCTCCATGGAAAGGTATGGGGGCTCCACACTGGCCACACAGCACTTGCTATGCACTGGGCCTTCCCCCTCAGCTGCGGCAGAAGCAGTTTTGGTGCCAGCTGCAAACTGTCCCGGAGGAGATATCTGACTTGCGGAGTCCAGTGGACCCTTGATGAGACCCGGACAAGTCAGAGAGTCAGCACCACTTGAGGGCTTGAGGGGTCTGTGGCTGGGTCTGGAAGGCTCCTGGGCCAAGAGAAAGCAAGGCTAGCCTTGGAAAAGCTCTCCATCGCAGGTTGAATTCAGGGATCATGCTTGAGTCTCCTGGCGCACGCTAATAGTCTGAAAGAATGAGTGTCTCTAGCTGTTTTCTCACAAGTCCCCAGGAAGTCTGTATGGGAAGCAGAGACCTGGTACCAGTGTTTACACCTCTTCATAAAGCATGAAGTTAAATTTTTCATGCACTAGAGAATTGGGGTTAATACTCAAAACGAAAGCTTCTTATAAAATAAAACTAATGAAATGTGGCTCTGAACAGATTTCAGAAACATGGCTTCCAGCCTGCCTGGGGTCTCTTGGAAGGAAAATGTTTTCTCTGATTATTAGCAAACTTTGGAAAACTATGACTTCACTGCTAGAGACTCACCACTTTCTTTTCTTTGACCCATAAATTCTTTCTTTCCCCCTTGGTCCCTTAAGACCTCTATTAGTGACCATTTTGTGACGGTAGCTTTGTAATCTCCCAATTCTGGCTCTGGAGTAGGAAAAAAAAAAGGCTTATTGGCCAGCTCACAGGGGTCTGGAAAGGCCCTGCCTGTCCCAGCTGGCCAGGACAGCCGGAAGCCTGAGGGGGCTGTCCACAGGCTGTCTGGCCAGGGTAAAGGAAGAGGAGGAGATGGGGGAGGCTTAATTCCTCGCTGGCTGGCTTCAGAAGGTGGCCTCCTTTCCCTTTGGCTCAGGAACCAGAATAAAAGGCCAAGAATCCTGGCTTAGTTCCTGTCAGCTTGTCGCCTTGTTTGTAGGTTTGTGGAGTGAACTGAGTCCGGAAGAAGCCCCGGGACTGCCTGAGAAAGGCTTGTGACTGAGCCTGAAGGAAGACAGACCCTCCCTGTCGCCACTGGGGTCAGAATCTCTTAGCCATTAGCCTCTGTCCTTTGTGTTTAGAGAAATGGATTGAGGAGTAAAGGGCCTAATTAGTTGGATAATGTTTGCTCAATACATTGGGGATCTTTTCTACTTTCCCATGAAATTATCATAAACATGAACTAAAACAGCTTTTATTTCTAAGCATCCCAAATCTTACTGCACTCATCAAGGAGTACACGGCATTAAGTCTTAAACTTACAACTATATTTTTTGCAGCAAATGTTTCATGACTCCAAAGAGTCATCCTAAAATATGATTCTTCTCAAAGAGACTTGTTTGACCTCAATGAAATGCTTATTTATGCAGCATCATTCTAATAGGACTGGCTTTTTAAAACCATTCAATATCTATGTAACAAGATACGTACAAGAAGATAGCAAGTCTTAATCATTGTTGTTTCCCCAGTGCTTAATGGAGTATTTCTTTACAGTTTTATTGAAATATAGTTGGTAGATAGAAACTGAGCATTTGATGAGTTTGGACATATGCCTACCTTCGTGGTATCATCACCACTATCAAGGCAATCAACATATCCATCACCTCCCAAAGTTCCTTGTGTTCCTTTGTTTTGTTTTTGCTTTTGTTTGCAGTAATAACACTTAACATGAGATTTACCCTCTTAAATTTTTAAGTGCACAATATTGTATTGTTAACAATAGGCATGATGTTGTATAGCAGATCTCTAGAA